GGGGGGGAAAGCAGCGCGGCCAGTCGGGGAGTGGGTGAGGGGAAGGGGGCTGCCGAACCCGAATGAAGGGCCACCCTCCCCGTGCCCTGTCTTCATCTCCCAGCCAGGCCTTGCTCTGCAGCCACTCTCCAGGACAGCAAGGCCAACCCCACCTTGCTCCTCCTCTCGGCAGGGTCTGACTAGGGACACTGTCACCCCTGGTTCCAGGCACATACTCCTACTTCCACCTCTTCCTCTGGTTGTGCCTTGTCTGGTCCCAGCAGCTGGGGCCTCAGACGCCACAGGCAGTGGCCCAGCCCGCCCTGCCATGGACCCTGAGGCCTCCAGCCCCAGCTCGGCCCTCAAGGTGCCCCTAACACCCATGACTCCTCCCTCACAATCTGCTCTCGGGCCTTCCCTACTCCATGCGCCAGCATCTACCCTGTCAACCCCTGGCGCCAAACACTCAGGGGTCATTAGAGGCCGCATGGCTGCACGTTCCTGACTTGAACCTCCCCTCTCTGCCTCCACAGCCAACGCCAGGCCTCCAAGGCGCCTTTCTACTTGCAAGGTTCCCTTGAGTCTGGTCTCCAAAAGAGTCATCTTAAACCTCTAGTGCTTTCCCCTCAGACATTCTTCTTACGTGGCCACAAAATCTTGCGTTTTTCTTTTTTTTTTTTTGGAGAGGTTTTTCTATAGGGCGCATGTGCTCACCAGAGACACAGAGACAGAGAGACAGAAAGCGAGAAATCACTCCCCAGGGGGGTGGCCACGCTGCAATCTCTTCTCCTCCATTCTCCTCTCAGGATCTTGGGCACGCTTGCACACGCGCCCGGCGTGAGTTTTAAGCCACCAGGTCCGGGACTTGAACCGCAGACGACTACGTGGGAGTCCAGCGACACAGCCATTATGCTAACTGCTGGTCCCCAAATCTTTTGTGATCTGGCCACCACGTGCTTCGTGGGCCTACCACCCGACCTTTCTGCTGGCCCTCAAATGCCATGAGCTCGTCCCTGCCTCGGGGTGTGCACACAGGGGCAGCCCTCAGCCTGTGACGCTGCCCTGCCTGTCTCCAGTCCCACGTCCCCACAGCTTTCACCTTCATGCCATCTGAGTCTGCGTCTCTGAATATTCAAGATATTGGCTACCTCGCCATCTGCTAGCCCCTTTCTTTACTTTCTTCAAAGCATGACTACCAAAATCTTTGTTCATCTGTTTATTTAGTTACCTTCTCCCCTCCAAAATAAGAGGCCAGTTAAATCAGGCCTTTGTCCTGCTCACTAAGGTAGCCTCGACTCTAGAACAGTGGCTGGAACACAGTAGGGGCTTACTGCTTATGTATTACTTGTTGCAAGAATTAAATCACAAATCCTCCTTTAATCCTTGAATTCAATTGCAGACAGAAACTTCTTTCCAAATTCCCCTTCACATTTCTGCACGAATGGATTTAAGAAAAATTTCCAGCCTGTGCTACATTAATCTTCTAGAACCTCTTCCAATTCAAGTTATTCTCTGCCAGATGATTTCCACAGACAGCGAGTGACTTCACAGCGAAGCTAATGAGCCCAGAGACAAAGGAGTCACGGGAGGTGTGGTGCTGGCAGCTGGGGTGGGCCTCCAGGCTGCCCTGGGTCTGGCCGAGAGTCACAGGTTCGGCCGTGGCTGGGCTCTATGAGAAGCCCACTCCAAAGCTCAGCCCCACCCCAGGACATGCTGAGCATCGGAGACTGAAGGGCTTTCTCTTGGGTGGCAGAGCCTAACTACAGTCAATTATGCAGGGTGCCGGTGAGCGACGAGTCCTCGACTCCTCAGACCAAGGCTGTCTCTGGACTTCGGATTTCATAAAGCTCTTCTCCTGTCACTCTGGGCTGATCAGGGAAAACTCAGCTTGCTCTCACACCCCTGCCCAACTCACTTCTCAATGCTACACCTAGCAGCCACCCACAAACCTAAAAGACACACCTACAGCCTCCCATCTGCAAGGAGGAGGCCGCTGGTCCTCACGCCATGCCTGGGGAAGTAAATGATGCAGCCTAACCCTCCTCTGGGAAACAGCTGAGCCGGCCTCCACGTGACGCCCAGAGCTGACTCCTGGGTATCTACTCAGGGAATGAGGCTTGCGTCACCCCCGCCACATACACACATGCATGTGAATGTCACGCTGCATTACTCAGGGCAGCCGGAGAGTGGAACGACCCGAACTCCCATCAGGAAGCCAGGCACAAAATTCTCTCCACACTGTGGGGCGTCACTCAGCCATGAACAGGCGTGAAGCGCTGGCAAGGCTACACACGGGGTATGCCTCGACGGCATCACGCTGAGTGCAGGAAGCCAGACCCAAAGGCCATGCGCTGCGGATTCTCTTCATCCGGAAGTCCGGACTCCAACATTTCATACGAACTTAGACCAGAAGCAGGTGACAGTGACCTAGTGCTGGGGAGAAGAGCAGCTGCCAATGGACACGGGGCCTCTTTGGGGCTAGCAGTATGTTCTAATATTAGCTCTGGGGGTGGCTGAGGAACTCTCTACACACACTAAACACATGAAGTCAGTGGTCCTCAACCTGCCTGGCACCAGGGACTGGTTTCATGGAAGAAAACTGTTCACGTGTGGGGTTGGCAGGGGGTGAGTGAGTCGGAGGCAGGTTATGAGAGCCTAGATAGAACCTCGATCCCTCACATGTGCAGCTCACAGGAGGGCTCACGCTCCTGTAAGAATCTGATGCCGCCGCGGAGCTGACAGGAGGCAGCGCTCAGGCTGTAATGTCAGTGATGGGGAGCGGCTGCAAATACAGGTGCAGCTCTGCTCGCTCACCCGCCATGCCCTTCTGCTTTGCAGCCCTGTTCCTAACAGGCCATGGATCAGAACTGAGGGGCGGAGACCCTGCTTTAACTGGATGAATTATATAGTGTATAAATCACATCTCTGTAAATAAAGCTGTTTAAAAACAAAACAAAACAAACAAAAAAATGAAACAAGGGGCTGGGTGGTAGTATGGTGGCAACGTGCCAGTCTCCCACCCCCTGGATGGGAAAGGGCCCAGGTTTGTGCCTGGGTTGTTCCTGGGCACACCGAGCAACTGGGATGGGCGATGCTGGGGATGCCTGTCTCTATCTCCCTCCCTCATAGAATATGTTCCTTAAAATTAAAAAAACTTTTGAAGGATCAAGTCTTCCCTTTCTTCCTTTCTCCTTTCTCTTCTGAAACAGGGTTTCACTATGTTGCCTAGGCTGGTCTTGAACTCGCCACCCTCCAGCCTCAGTCTCCCAAGTACCTGGGGTCATAGGCACGGGTCACAGGCACAGACCACTGTGCCCAGCTATTCCAATCCCTTCCGAGGTCTGCCACTCTGTCGCGAGGCATGGAAGCCTGAACGGACCTTAGCTCGCTGTGGGCTTAGGAGCCCGGAAGTCTCAAAGTGAGGGGAACCAGCGCGTCGACTCGGTCACCTGAGCACGCACATCAGACACAGACACTATCGCGCTTCAAATGCAGGTGCTTCTGTGGCTTTAAAAGAAGTGCATCTAAGATCATTCCCAAATTTTATAGTAGCTTTCAATGATTCCTAGGTTTCTGGGAAGTTTTGGGATGTTAAACGAAGAAACTAAACTAGTGAGAAATCCTGGTTTTCAAATGTGGAGGCCGGGAGCTCAGAGGTCAAGCAATGTGCCTGGAGCTGGCTCCACGGTGCCATGGGGGCACGCTGGTCCAGGGAGGCCAGAGCCCACAGGGCGACCACGGCTCAGGTGCCCGGCCAGATCAGCCTGCAACATGCTGTGCACACACCCGAGGGCCCAAGATCTGATAGCCGGAGGGCACACTTCCGGCACAACCAGACCCCGTGAAGGGTGCGCCTCTCTCTCTCTCTCACACACACACACACAAACACACACACAAAAAAACTCTGTCCCTGTATCTTGAACAAAGGGAGAAAAGTTTAAAAAAAAAAAAATTCAGTGCTTATGAACCAGCTGGTCCAGTGGTTCGGGCAGCTGGACCCCCATGGCTGGCTGCATGCTCAAGTCCCAGACTCAGCAACCTGAGAAACATACCGGGTGTGGGTGCATGTGCGCCCACAACCCTGAGGAGGAGAGATGGAGAGGGAACTGTGGCGTGACCTTGCACGCACTCTGGCAATTAATTTTTTTTTCTTTTTAGTTTGCTCTAGGGTGTGTGCACTTGTGAGAGACAGAAGGAGAGATAAAGAAATGAGAAATCACCCCCAGGGAGATGGCCACACGATTCCCTTCTCCTTCACTCTCTTCTCAGGATCTTGGACATGCACACACACACACTATGTTTTCCAAGCCACCGAGTCTGGGATTCCAACTGCAGTCAGCCAAGTGGGACTCAGTGCCTTAACCACCCTGCCACCTGCTGCCTCCAAATTAAAAAACAAACAAACAAACAAACAAATGAAAGAAAGAAAGAGAGAGAGAGAAAGAAAGAGAGAAGCAGCAGCGGCCAGGACACACAGCAAACACCCGGCAGCCCCAGTGGTGGCGTGCCCCCAGCAGCCACACTCGGCCGTGGGGTACCCCAGTGCCGGCACTGGCTGCAGACACACACAGCTCACCTGAAGGCAGGTCCAGTTCCACCCCGACCCACATGCCCTCCTGGAAGCTGGTGGGCCCGACGTATCTCACGATCCCCGTTTTGTTGCTGCCCACGGTGACGTACTCTCCCTCTCTCAGCCACTCTGGGACTTCGTTGGCTTCCTCAGAATCAGAGGCTACTTCCAGTTTCTCCAGGGCCTGGCTCAGGTCACCCAGCCCCCCTGGGGCCAGCGGGTCCTCCTCAGCACCAGAGGAGCAGCTGGAGTCTCCACCAAGCATGCGCGTGAACGACTTCAGCTCTGAGGTCCGCACCTTGTGGATTCGGAATGGAGACTCAGGAGCAGGCGCCTGAGGTGGGAGGTCAGGGGGCAGCTGCAGCTTGGAAGGGCCAGGCTCCAAACTGGGAGCCGCCTTCAGCTGGGCCTGGGCCTTTGGTCGTCCGAGCTGCTTAGAGGCAGAGGCAGCTTCACCCCAAGGCTGTCGGCCTGAGGGCTCCCCTCCAGGGGCTGAGGTGAGAGGCCGAGCAGGTGGCTCTGCTTGGACTGGCAGTGACAGAGTACTGTTCTGACTCTCCAGCCGGGCAGGAGGGTGACTCTGTGCACTTGTAGCAGCAGCTAGAAAGGGCAGCTCGGCCTCCAGGGCTGCCTGGCAGAGTGGCGCAGTGGGGGAGCCCGGTGTCTGGCCACCTGCTGGGGTCACAGCCTCCAGGCCAGGGAGGAGTGCGTCGGAGAGTGTGGCAGTAGAGACACTGTGAGAAAAGTACCCGCTGGAAGCCTCGCTCAGAGGGCTGGGGGGGCTGTCCTTCCCTTCTGGGGCCATTGTGGAGGCAGCGACTGGCAGTGGGGCAGTGATTTTGGCTGGTCTGTCACTGATCTTCACCATGGGGGCCACCTGCACCATCACGTCGGAGGCCACGCTGGTCCCCACACTCCCACGCTGGGCCTGCGGCAGAAGGGGGCACAGGGCTTAGAGCTAAACATCTGGCAGTCATTGCCAAAAGAATCCCAACAGGGCAGCTGTTGTTTAAAGCTTGTAAAAAAGACATACTGCAGGACCAGCAGTTAGCGTAATGGTTATGTCGCTGGACTCCCATGTAGTTGATTGTGGTTCGAGTCCTGGACCTGGTTGCTTAAACTCATGCTGGGCACGTGTGCGTGTGTGCCCAAGATCCCAAGAGGAGAAAGGAAGAGTAGAGATTGCGGCGTGGTCATCACCCCTGGGGGGTGATTTCTCGCTTTCTGTCTCTCTGTCTCTTTCTGGCGAGCGCACGTGCCCTACAGCAAAAACCTCTCCAAAAAAATAAAAAACATATTGCATGCAGTAATATCTTTGACTTGCCTGACAGGCAGTGTTTATACTCTGAGAACTCCTATAGTACACTGTAAAGACTACAGTGATTAAATGTAAATAAGAATAAACAAAAGAAAACTCTACTCCTATAGAGAGCTAGTCTGCACACACAGGAGAGAGACAGAGACGCTGGCACACTGGAGCGTCCTCCAGCCCCTTGGGATCCTGAGTGCACACCCAGTGTGTTAAGGGTGACCAGCAGGGGATCTGAACCCACGCTTGGCCACGTGGCTTCCAGTACAGCTGCTGCCTGCACCCCCAAAGCTGGGTGAGCAGCCGAACATTACAGCACTTGGGGGATGGGGGAGAGAATGGCTGTGCGGTAGGCCAGACCTGGTTCCAGTATCAGTTACGCCATTTGGTTCTATGTGACACTGGCTTGGCACGTAACGAACACTGACGGGGTCCAGGAGCACTGTGCAGGCCCCGTGCTGGGTTCTTATGCTGACCCACAGCCACTGACACTATCGCTTCCACTCCTTCTATCTTCTACACAGACTCGCGGCTCCAGTGCCTGCCACACAGGGTCGGTGCGGTGTGACAGGGAACCCAGAGCCCACAGAATGCAGCACGCAGTAGGTGCACACTAAAATCTTGCCATCCCCAGGGCAGCCTCCCCACTGCCCCACATTTAGGCTACTCACTTTGCTCTAACAGAGAGATTCCCCTGCCCAGAACTGACCTCACAGGAGATTGAGCAAATCACGAAAGAGGCCAGAAGAGCAGTTTTGGCCAGCAAAACTAAAATGAAGATCTCATCAGAGGAGCCAAAGTGCTTTAGCACAGCTTCACCGGCTCAGGTACCAAGAGCGGGCCATGGGCCTGCCGCCAGGCTGGGTGCCCATAGCCAGGAGCCAGGTGCACAAGGAAGGGGACAGGGGCTCCCTGTGGACTGTGCCCCTTCCTTTGAGAGGCTGGTTTTTTTTGGCTACTGTGAAAGGCTGGTCCCATGTCAGGGGTCAGGGACCCTCTGATCCTGGGACCTAAGCTGGGAGGAGCTGCAGGGTAAAGAGTGAGCCAGCAGCGGCTGGGCTGCCGCTTCCTCTGTCTGAGTCACGCGGACAGGGGACACACACACACAAAGCCCACATCTCATGGGGAATGACGCCAGCCACCACTGTCCAAATCCTACTGTTTCTGAGGAGCATGTAAGGTGTCGTTCCTTCATAACGCAGGTCATCCGAATAGGCCTTTCTAGTCCCTATTCACAATGATGGGGGAAGAGAAGGCAGGAATGGCAACAAGGTGGGTGGGGCAGAGAGGGGCACCATTTGGAGAAAGAAATATGCTTTCCAATATTTACAGAAAAATTATTTATATTACAGGAATGGTCATTTTCCATTTGAAATACAGGATTTATTTGAACTGGGAAATAGCTGAGATCTATAAGTCTCTTACAGTTACTTGGCTTAACTCAGCAGTTTGATAAATCATGCATTTTCCCGTGAATTGTCATTTATATTCCTGTTTCTAGGGGCCCTCTTTTCCCCACCAGGCACACTTTCAGGGTATGAAATTAACGGCACCTCTTGAGATTAACAGCCCATTTTTGTGATAGATCTCTAGGCTGCAAAATTTACTCAATCCAATAGATCAATAACTGTCACCAGCATAAATACTCTAAAAGATTAGGTAATCCTTCAATCATTTTACGTTTGCAACTTGCCCATGTTTTATTTATTCTTTTCTCTTTTAGTTTAATACCAGTGACCATGTAGGGAAGATTACACAAATACAACTACTAAAGCCCAGAATTTGAACAGCAGCCAGGGTCCTGAGACAGTTTCTGTTCCACGTTCACCTCCTGGGTGAGGCCCGGTCATTGCCATTTCAACACCTGGCTGCTCAGGGCAGGGAGGGTCAGTCCTGTGGGGAGCAGTGGGGGCAGTTCTAGATTTACAGGTATTATTCCATTTGCTTCTGCGTGAATCACTAGCAGAGGGCAGGCCCACAGGGGTTAAAGGATTTATCCAAGCACCCCTGCCCTCCACTCCACTCTCCTTATGCAAAAGGCAGAGATTGGGGGTCAGACGGGGATGCAAGAACAAAGAAGAGAGTGAAGATGGAAGTAGACCCTGCCAGGAGGTGCTCTGGAAGCTGATGCTCTGCAGTACGCCCTTCCTTCAAGTAAGACACTTCCAGAGAGTTCTGCAAAAACTCAGGTTTGAAGGAATCACCTCGTGAGCTTCTGCAAGGCCCCTGCTTTTTCCTTCTCACTGGACTGGGGGCTCAAACCTGCCTCTGTAAAATGACAAATGCCACACACAGGGAGGGGCCACTACAGTGGCCCACAGTGAAGCTTCTAGATGCCAAGGATATGCGGGCAGAAAGGGAGCTTTTCATTATGTGGGGATTTGTGGAGGTCTGGATTTTCTTTCAACTTATTAGGCTTTTTTTGCTGTTGTTTTAATAAATAAAATTTTCCTATGAAGATCTAGCATTTCCTAAGAGAATGAAGGCACAGTGGGAGAAAATAGATTTGCTATTCATAAGATTAGAAGTGCTGTTGATCTGTGGGAGATCATAAGAGACTATTTTCTCCCCAGCTTAGCATCAGTCTTTTCACGCTGATATCATGAATCAGAATGAAATGTAAAACTGAGAATTAAGCAAACACTTAGAGGAAGGAGATTGTTCTGTTTATAGAAATCTCCTTTGCCTAGCAGTGGGCTATTAAAGCTGCAGACTACATTAGCAGTCAAGCACCTAAAAGTTTAGCAATCATATGATTAACAAGTTGAAAATAGAAAAGTGTAATAAGGAAAATAGAGAGAGAGAAGACAGTGACCTATATTATAGTTAATTATCAAAATGGGCACGGTGAAATAAAAGCTGAGGGTGTGGACTACACAGTTTTAGAGCAGGGGCCGCCCGCTGTATGTGGGGCAGCCACTGGCAGTCCGACGACTCACCTCCTCCGTCCTGGTCCCCCAGGCATCCGGGCAGGCGGGCTGAACCATGATTCGGGGCACGGCCTGGAAAGACAAGGACACGGGTAAGGGACTCAGTGTGGCAGCATGGGGACAAGTGGGGGAGTCTTCCTTGGACAGACTGCAGAGCATCAGGAAGACCCATTGAGGTGACTTTCACCACTCTCTGGAGTTCTAACAGTCACTGCGAATTAGGCATGCAAATGCCTGGGGCACCACCCCAGGCCAGAAAGAAGGAGCCAGCAAGGGACTCACTCTCCAGCCAGGGCAGCAGGACACATGCTAAAATCAATGACACACATGGCACGCGACACTCAGGCTCCCTCTCAGCGGTCACATCCGTACACCTGACGCGAGGGCAGTATCGGCACACACAGGCATTATGAGACTCCGTGTGGAGAAATGACTGGGGAAGGAAAGATCTGGAAAGACCTTACATATAGGAGGTGGAAGCCACACCAAGCCTTGATGACAGGGAAAGCTCATGGCGACGTGCAGTCATGGGTAGCGAGTAGGAAGCAAGCCAGTCTGGCCGGAACACGAGACAGAGCAGGCAAGGACACGCAGAGGCCCTGGGGATCTGAGACCAACCTAATCAGGGAATGATGAGAGGCCACCACAGATTCCTGAGCAAAGAAAGCAGAAGAGAGCTGAAGATCAGAAAGACGGATCTGGCGGTGGGATGCACATTGATTGCAGATACATTTAAAGTCCGAGGAGGCAAATCAGCCACGAGAGTCCAGCAACAGAGCAGGTGTGAGATGGTAAGAGCCTGAATCAAAGGATGTAGGAAACGTCAGAGGAGAGGACTTCGTTACTATAGACACATGACTCAAGGGACATCAAAGGGGGGTCGGGGGGACAAAAAATAATCAGCCAGGATAAGGAGAAGGGAAGGCAGAAGGAGAAGGAATCAGAAATTCTTTTTGTAGCTGCTGGGTTTTAAATGGCAGCGGCACAAGAGCTGACGAGCAGATGCGAGTATCTCTGAAGAAACCAGGAACCCACCATTTCTGCCTTTATCCCTTCAATCGACTGCTGGCTCCTTCCCAGGCTCCCTTCTCCAGAGCAAAAGTCTGGCCTTGGCTCTGCGTGCCAGCTCTAGAGGATCCATTCCGGCTGAAGAGCACAGGGCCAGCTCCTTCCGTCCTGCTGGGCCCGCAGGGAACAGCAGCGGATCGCCTCTCTATTACACGACTGAAGTTGCCTAGAGATGGAGATCCCATGTCTCTAAGTTCCTCTCTGGCCCTAAGCGATCCAGCTGCTTCCAGTTTTCGTGTGTGTCTGGGCACCCGAAGCTTCCAGGCAGTCATGACTCTGCAGACGGAGTCTGCAGGCAAGAGCTTAGAGCATCAAAGTCTTCCCTCCTAGGGGATCCCCCTTCCTGAGGAAGCCCGGATTCTTAACTAAAGGGTCTCCTTTTACTGAAGGGTGCACCTCAATCATCTGGCCCTTGGGACGGCTTTTGGAAGACAAGTGTTAGAAGGGATTAATTCTGTTGAAGGTAAGGGAACAGACGTTAAGATTTGAGAAACGGCACAGAGAAGGGGTGATGAAGTAGAAGCCATAAGAGATAAGACTTAAAACAGGTGGAAGAACCAAGGATCAAACTAAAGAAATAAACACTTTACCCTGGGGAGTGACTGGGCGGTTTGAGGCCCAGGGAATCTAGGGTCAGAGGGGTCATTAAGAAAGGTGATTTTAGGCCAGCACTCTGGCTAGTGGTTAAGGGAGCTGAACCACACATAGCCTGTTGCGGTTTGAGTTCGGGCCTGGTGGCCTGGGCCAGGCACATGTGCATGCGTGCCCAGAATCCCGACAAGATGGAGAGGAGGAGGAGAAGGGGCTGTGAGCAACCATGCACCCTTGAGGGTTGCTTTCTCCCTCTTTTCTCTGTCTCACTCTAGCAAGTGCACATGCCTTCTGACAGTTTAAAAGGGGGTTGGGGGAGGCACAAAAATGTGTCTCAGGCTCCCACTCCAAAACACTTACGCTCTCCAGCTAGACTGTACTTAATTAGACAAGATTAAGGAAGAACAGGTCCTACTAAGCTCACCCCTTTAAAGCATAGCAATGTAAGATCCCCACCGAGGATGGAAGGTTACTACTGAGGATGACATGCCTGCCCTCATAAATGAAGATGGAGACAACCTATACTTCTCTTTGTGACTCTATGATTAGAAAAATCTAGTATTTGAGACTAGCAAATGGCATACTGGTTACGTCACTGGACTCCCACATGGCTGATTATGGTTTAAGTCCTGGACCTGGTGGCTTGAAAATCATGCCAGGTATATATATGCGCATGCCCAAGATCCCAGGAGGAGAAGGGATTGTGGCATGGCCATCCCCCCTCGGGGGTAATTTCTCACTCTCCCTCTCACTGTGTCTGTCTCTTGCTCTCTCTTGTGACTGCACATGCCCTAAGGCAAAAAAACTTCTTAAAAAAAAAAAAAAGAAAGAAAGAAAGAAAGAAAGAAAGAAAAAAGGAGGGACCAGCAGTTAGTATAATGGCTATGTCACTGAACTCCCATGTAGTCGAATGCGGTTCAAGTCCTGGACCTGGTGGCTTAAACTCGCGCCGGGCACGTGTGCATGTGTGCCCAAGATCCTGAGATGAGAATGGAGGAGATGGGATTGTGGCGTAGCCATTCCCCTTGGGGGGTGATTTCTCGCTTTCTGTCTGTCTCTGTCTCTCTTACAAGCGCATGTGCCCTGTAGCAAAAACCTCTGCAAAAAAAAAAAAAAAAAAAAGAAAGAAAGAAAAAAAAAGGAAAGGAAGAAAGAATGAAGAGAAAGGCAAAGAAAAATCTAATAATATCCAGTCATCAGAAGAGTCATGACACATTTTTGCATAGAAAAATACATCATGACTTTTCTGAGGACTCAATAAATACTTAATAAACATGGCTGAAGTTAACTTAAGAACCAGAATGGCTACAACGCAGGTTGTCACTCTCGACGTATAAACTGGGCTCAACAAGGACTCGGTCAGGTCTTTCGATGTGCAGGGAACTGCACCAAGAGTCAGCAACAACACTGAAATCAGAACGGCCTGGGCACTGCTCTCTCGGCCTGACAGTTCAGTGTGGAAGAGGAGGAGTGTGGTAGATGTTAGAAAGCAAAGAGGCTGCAGAGGAGGAAGGAGATCACGAACCGAAGCGGTACAGGGTAGCTGCTCAGGAGTAACTCTGAGCACGGCCTTGAGAAGCAACACGAAAGCAGGACACCAGGGGAGCCCATCTATGTTGACCGTGCTCCCTCTCCTCGCGAATCTGCCCTGGGAAAACCTACTCATCCTTTGGTCATCCTGACAGACAGTGCTGGGCAGAGGGAAGGGAGGTAAGGGCGTGTGGAAGAGGCCTGGTGAGTTCACGGTTCAACTTCGCAGGCACTAAAGAGCTATGGCAGGTCACTGGATGAAAGACTTATGCTTTCAAAAGACTAACCCTTAGATGGGAAAGATGATCAGATTACAGAGACCAATTGAGAAGTTAACTCAGGGCCAGCTGGAGGCATGGTGATTAAGGTGCTGCATTTCTACATGGCTATCCATGTTGAGTTTGAACCCAGGGCTTGAAATCACACCAGGCACATGTGAGTGTGTGCCCAAAATCCAAGGAGGAGAATGGAGGAGAAGAGAATGCAGTGTGGCCATCCCCTCTGGGGGATGATTTCTCACTTTCCCTCTCCCTATCTTTCTGTTTCTCTCTCGCAAGTATACACAATCTGTGCCAAAAACCTTAAAAAAAAAAAAAAAAAAGAAAGAAAGAAAAAGGCAGGGACCAGCAGGTGGATAGTGGTTAAGTAGCGCTGGACACTCCCACATGGCTTACCATAGTTCAAGTCCCGCACCTGGTGGCTTGCTTTCTCACTTTCCCTCTCTTTCTCTCTCTGGTCAAATGAAAATAAATAAATGAATAAATAAAATTTAAAAAATAATGAAAAAAAAGGTTAATTTAATGATTTGGTAGAAAGCAAGAGCCTGAACTTGGATGGTAAAAGGAAAGAAAATAAAAATAAAAGTTCAGAAAGAGGGCCAGCAGGTGGCCTGGTGGTTAAGATACTGGATTTCCATATGGCCAACAGCAATTCAAGTCCTGGACCCTGTGGCTTGAAAATCACATAGAGCAGGACCAGCAGTTGGCATAATGGCTATGTGGCTGGACTCCCATGTAGCCGAACACGGTTTGAGTTCTGGATCTGGTGGCTTAGACTCACGCTGGGCATGTGTGCGTGCATGGCCAAGATCCCGAGAAGAGAATGGAGGAGAAGGGATTGCAGTGTGGCCATCCCTCCTGGTGTGTGTGTGATTTCTCGCTTTCTGTCTCTCTGTCTCTTTCTGGCGCACTCACGCGCCCTATAGCAAAAAAACTCTCCAAAAGGAAAAAAAAAATTCACATGGAACATGCCTGCATGCGAGCCCAAAATCCCAGGAGAACGGAGAACAAAGGACTGCAGTGTGGCCATGCCCACCGCTCAAGCGGAAGTGTGATTTCTCACTCTCCCTCTCTCTGTCTCCATCCATGTTTCTCCAGCGAGTGTACTGACCCTATGTGGGAAAAGAAAAAAAAAAAAAAACCTAAACTAAAAGAAAAAAAACTAAAAAAGGGCTGGCCCATGGCCTGGTTAGGAAGCCAAACCCCACATGATCAAACCTCAGGATGGACTCCACAACAAGCATGTTGACGCATGTTCCAAATCTCAACAACATGGAGAAATGGAGGCGAAGGGATTGCCCCACTGGGGTGGGAGTGCTTTCTCCCTCCCGTCACTCGAGCAAGGTAAGGGAAAGCAAGCTCAGAGACACGAAGATGACTTCACATATGGAAACAACCGGCTCTGAAGGCAGAACGAGGAGAAGGGCAGGGGGTGGTACTAGCAGAAAGTGTGGCGTATATGTGTGTGCACGTGTGCACACACGCCGGGCCTGGGTTGGGGCTACTGAGTCTGCTACGTTTGGCAGCGGCCTGCGATGAGCAGGGTATCAAATACATCTACCAAGTACCTGAAATCGGAACTGCGCCATCCGTCCTTCACACGCA